AAAAAACTACTAGGAGCAGACATCCTTGTCTTGTTCCTGATCTTAGGAGAAAGCATCAATCTTTTACCATTATGTCTGAGTTTAGCTGTGGGTTTTTTGCAGATGCCTTTTATCAGGTTGAACAAGTTTCTACTCCTAGTTTGTTGAGTATTTTTCATAATGAAAGACTATTGGATTTTTTTAAATGCTTTTTCATCTACTGAGATGACCATGTGATTTTGTTTTTTATTCTAATGATACTGTATATATTAATTGATTTTCAGATGTTAAACCAACCCTGCATTCCTGGATTAATCCCACTTGGTCATGGTATACACTAATTTTTATGTGACTGGATTTGGTTTGCTGGCATTTTTTTGAGGACTGCTGTAAAAGTCCTCAAAAATAATAAAGAGATATTATTAGTCTGTAGTTTTCTTTTCTTGTGATGTCTTTAGTTTTGGATTAGGATAATACTGGCCTCAAAGAATGGGTTGAAAAGTGTCCCCTCTCTTCTATTTTTTGGAAGAGTTTCTAAAGAATTGGTTAATTCTTAAACTGGTAAAATTCTCCAGTGAAGCCATTTCAACCTAGAGTTTTCTTTATCAGTGGTTTCTTTTCTTTTTCAAGATTTTATTTTTAAGTAATCTCTACACCCAACAACCCGAGATCAAGAGTCCCATTAACCCATTTAGCCAGCCAGGCACCCCTGTCAGTAGTTTCTTTCTTTCTTTTTTTTTTTTATTCCTTTCTGGAATTTTATTTTTTTTAAGTTATTTATTTATTTATTTTTAAATTTATTTGACAGAGAGTGTGCACACACAGGCAGGGAAAGCAGCAGAAGGAAAGGTAGAAGCAGGCTCTCCTCTGAGCAGGGAGCCTGATGCAGAGTTCAATCCCAGGACCCAGGGATCATGACCTGAGCCGCAGGCAGACACTTAACTGACTGGGCCACCCAGGCACCCCAACAGTTTCTTATTAGTAATTTAATCCCTATTCTTGGATACAGTTTATTCAGATTATTTATTTCTTCGAGTCAGTTTTAGTAGTCTGTGTATTTCTAAGAATATGCCCATTTCATCAAAGTTGTCTAATTCATTGTCATACAACTGTTCCCAGTGTTCCTTTAAAAACCTTTATTTTGTAAGATCAATAGAAATGTCCTTTCATTTCTGAGTCTAGTAATTTCTTTTTTTGTCAATCTAGCTAAAGGTTTGTTAATTTTGTTTATCTTTTCAAAGAACTAGTTTTTGGTTTTATTGATTTTTCTCTATTCTTCTATTTTCTATTTCATTTTCATTTCTGCCCTAATCTTAATTATTTCCTTCCTTCTCTTTATTTTAGATTTAATTTGCTTTTTTTCTAGTATCTTTAGGCAGATGGTTAAAGTATTCATTTGAGATCTTTCTTTTTAAAAAATATAGGTATTTATAGCAATAAAATTTCCCCTAAGTACAACTTTAGCTGCATCTCAGATTTTGTTACATCATGTCTTCATCTTCATCTCCAAGTATAAATTCTCCTTTTGATTTCTTCTTTGAGCCATTTATTATTTAGGAGTGTACTGTTTAATTTCCATATATTTATGAGTCTCCCAAATTCTTTTGTTATTAATTTCTAATTTCATTCCACTGTAGTTACAGAATATATTTGTATTATTCTTAGTCTGTTAAATTTACAAAGTTTTTGTTTTATAATGGCTTAGCATAAAGTCTATCCTGGAGGAGAATGTTCCATGTGCACTTAAGAATATATTTTCTAATATTGAGTGTTCTGTAGTTGTTAGATCTAGCTGGTTTATGGTGTTCAAATCTTCTGTTTCCTTGTTTGTCTTCTTCCTAGTTCTATCCATTGTTGAAAGTTGGGTATTAAGTCTTCAACCATTACTGTTGGTCTATGTCTCCCTTCATTTCTGCAAGGCTTTGCTTCATGTATTTGGGAGTTCTGTTGTTAAATGTTTATAATTGCTACACATTAAATCGATTGACTTTTTATCACTATAAAATGTCCTTTGTCTTTAGTAGCAATTTTTGTCCTAAAACCCATTTTGTCTAATATCAAAAAGCCACTCCACCTCTCTTTTGGTTGCTATTTGCATTGCATTTTTTTTTTATTCCTTTTACTTTGAATTTTTTTCTATCTTTTGATTTTTTTTAATCCACTTTTATAACTGCCAACTTTGACTGGAATGTTTCATCCACTCACATTTTAAAATCTAATCTCATTAATTATTGACACAGCAGATTTACATATACCATTTTACTTATTTCTATATGTCTCATGCCCTTTTTTGCTCTATTTCTCCTTGACTCTATCACTGCATTAAGTGAATGTTTTATACTGCAGCACTTTAATTTCTTTAATGATTTTCACTATTTTTTGAGTGATTTGCTTAGTGGCTACTCTAGGACTTACCATATACATCTTAACAGAAATAGCTTCATATTTATACTAACTTAATTCCAGTTAGCTATAGAAACATTACTCCTAGAGAGCTCTATTTCTTTTCTTCCCTTTTTGTGGTATTATTGTATACAAATTACATTTATAAACATTGCAAACCCCAAAATACACTGTTACAATTATTACTTTACATAATTTTGCATCTTTTAGAGTAGCTAAGAGGACCGTGATTATATTTTTGTAAGTTTTATTAATATGAATTCTTATCACTTCTGGCTTTCTTCATTTGTTCCTGTGGATTCAAATTGACATCTGGAGTCATTTCTTTAGCCCAGTGTAGTTTTGCTCCCATCCAGCTCCTTTGTGCTGTTATAAAAAATATATATTACATTTCTATATGTTATAGGCCCAACAATACATTAGTTTTATACACTTGCTTTTTACATCAATCAACAAAAGAGAGAAGAAGAAAAATGACTATCTTATAATTACCTTTCCTGTTGCTCTTTGATTTTTTTGGTGTGGATTCAAATTACTGTCTAGATCACTTTTCAGCCTAAAGAGCTTCCTTTAGTATTTCTTGTAAGATGAGTCTGCCAGCAACAATTCTCTCAGCTTCTGCATATCTGTAAATGTCTTTATTTCACCTTAGTTTTGAAAAATAGCTTTGCTGGATATAGGATTCTTGACTGATAGTTTTTTCTTTCTTTGAGCATTTTGAACATGTCCCACCGCCTTCTATCTCCTCTGCTTCTGTTGAAAAGTCAGCTGTTAATCTTACTGGGGTTCCCTTGTAAGTGACAAGTTGTTTTTCTCTCACTGGTTTCAAGATTTTCCCATTGTCTTGGTCTTCCAGAATTTTTAATATGATTCATCTATTTGTGGATCTCTTGCATGGTTATTTGGAATTCACTGAGCTTCCTGGAGGACTAAAGTTTTTGAGTAAATTTGGAAACTTCTCAGCCATTATTTCTTCAAATACTTTTTCTGCTCCTTTTTTTCTCTCCTCTCCTCGTTCTCCCATCATGCATATGTTTGGTATGCTTAAGTGCCCCACATTTTCCTGAGGTTCTATTCATTTTTCTTCCTTCTTTTTTCTCTGTTCTTTGGACTACATGTTTCTGTTAGTTCAAATATACTTCTGAGTCCCACTAGTAAATTTTTTATTTCAGGTATATTGTTCAATTCCAGAAGTTCCATCTAGTTATTTTTCTTTATAATTTCTATTTCTTTATTGATATTGTCTATTTGATACAACATCATTGGGATACTTCCTTTACTTCTTTAATCATGGTTTCCTTTAGTTCTCCGAACATAGTTATAATGACTACTTCGAAGTCTTTGTTAAATCTGACATCTGGGGGCACTTGGGTGGCTCAGTCCTTAAGCGTCTGCCTCCAGCTCAGGTCATGATCCCAGGGTCCTGGGATCAAGCCCTGCATCGGGCTCCCTGCTCCGCGGGAAGCCTATTTCTCTCTCTCCCCCACTCCCCCTGCTTGTGTTTCCTCTCTCGCTGTGTCTCTGTTAAATAAATAAAATCTTTTAAAAAAAAAATCTGACATCTGATCATTCTCAAAGGCAGTTTCTATTGCCTGCTTTTTCCCCTAGTATATGGATTATACTTTCCTCTTCCTCTGCATGTCTTGTATTTCTTTGTTGGAGATTGGACATTTTAGAAAACATAACAACTATGAGTACTGATCCGCTTTCTCTCTCCTGGGGCTTGTTACTGGTATTTGCCTGTTTTCGTGTTTGTTTCCTGATTGACTGGATTATTTTACTAAAATTTGCATCCCCTTTTCTCCCATAATTTGAAATAATCAACCCAAGAAATGTCGTGTTCAGTCCTGAATGCCTCATTTGAAGAATACTAACAAACTAAAGCACATACAGAAGCAGCTTCCAGGATGGGGAGGGTTTCAAAATGTCACAGAACAAAAGGCTAAGGAAACTGATTATATCTGAAGTCGATCAGAGTAATAGGATAGAAAGGACACAGAGTTACTGATTTCAAAGTTCTGAAGTGATATTCTGGCATAGCTGAAGAGCAGAGAAAAAGTCACAGACCTTAGACAAATTGGTATTACATGGTATTCTTTAAACAAGCAATTCAACAATGGCATATGCTACCTTAGACACTAATGAGGTTTCCATTTTTAAAAGCAGAAGTTTTTTACCTGTCACAACTATTGAGTATGGTATTTCTTGTATGGTAGGATAGGTTTGGGTAGATAATTCCATTTTCTGTGATAATCACGAAACCTGGCCTTGAATGTAACCATTCTGACATAATGCAAAGCACTTTACATGTACATAAATATATATTTTAAATAAACTATTATTCACCTCTTGAAGACAAATTATGAAGAAATATGTAGGAAACAATTAAGAAAAATTCTTAAATGTTTCCCTAGCAAAGAGTTTCTCTGAGACTGCTATTTAAAAGTATTTTCCTGATTAGTCATATATCTGGTAGATTACTCTATAAACCATTGGGAGAATTACTTTAAATTTCTGTATTCTCTCACATACTTGCATTAAAATATTAATTAATTTACAAGAATTACTCAGTTCTTATAGAAGTTTTTTTAATGAAATAATTGAGTTCCATAACTCACCAGAAGAAATCTTACCAGCACCTTTATAGTCAACAGAAAATGCAGATGTGACTCCATTGGCCGACCCCAGTTCACACATGGAAATTTGATAAGGGGGCCTCAGCTTGATTTCCATCTGCATGTCAGACAGATTTATCTTTGTTGAAAGAGACCTGGGATTATTATATCGCTGCTTGGTCCTCTGAATGAAGTTATCTATGTAAAATAAAAAATAAATTTCCTTGCAGTCATTTGTTAAGTAAATAATTTGAGAGTGTGATGTTTATGGAATAAATTCTGCAGATCAACAGTTTAATTTGTTGTCCAAAACTATTCAATTTGTCATTGAATATTCAAATATTATTTGTGTTTAATAGTTAATACATCATGGAGTCATCAGTGTTTCACTCTAGAAATTATATTCTAGAAATAATTATAAATAAAATAAGGATTTAACACTACATGACTGTGACACTATTTCTACTATTATATTCACTTCAAGGAATTACTTTAAATTTTTACAAAAAACAAAAACAGCTTTAATTTTAAACCAAAGTCTTAATTTTTATAGGGATTCATCTCTCATAAAAGATTAAGTCTGTCAGTATTTACCAATTGTAATCACATAAGAACATATACTATAAATTGCATGTTCTTATAAACCTGTTTTCTTATTTATTGCTTACACCATTAGAATGTATGTTTTAAACAAATTTAATGAAATCAAAAAGACATTTTCTAAATATCTTCCAATTTTACTTTCATTACTTACAACTTGGTTTTACTTTTTTCTCCTCCTACACCAGGAGTCAAGCAAACTAATGCCCAGAGGCCAAACTGAGCCTGCTGATTGCTTATGAAAATAAAGTTTTATTGGAATATAACTATACTCATTCATTTATGTATTGCCTATGGCTGCTTTCAAGCCACGATGGCTTGAAAGGGCTGGGTAGTTGTGACAGCGACCATATGGTCCTTACAGCTTAAAATATGTACTATCTGGTACTTTCCAGCAAATGTTTGCCAACCTCCATTCTACATTAAGCAGACTATAAAAGATTATCACATAAACACAGAACTCTGAATCTCTGGCTTACAAATTTCTCGTTGAGAAATTGTCCTCTGGGATTAATTCTTTGTGCCAATAATCATGATCCCCTCCGCAGCCCAAACACATTTTTTTTTTTTCCAAACAGGCACCCAAATGAAGAAGTTGCCATAATTTATAGACCACCTGTCAATTTATTCTATCAAAAGCAAGGTAGGAGAATTTTCTGAGTTTTTCCCCCGGCCTCCAGTATTACATGAAAAATTGCTTATGACTGGATGGAGAGAGGATAAGGAAAAGGAAAAAAAAATCAGACCCTTACCAAATTCAATGAAACAGTATGGTCTGACAGCAGTATTTGTCTTCATCATGTTATAAGTAGTAATGAACTCCTTCTGAAGCTCATCCAGGAAAGAGAAGGCCAGAACATTCGGGTAATTTTCAGTGCACAACATCATGTAGCTCACTCCCAGAGAACTAATAAAACTACAGTGTAAAAAACATTGGTTTTAAAATTTCAAATTAAATTAAGGTAATTCATTGCTTCAAAAGACTGGTTCTATGCTACCATAAACTGCTGCTACAGTGGCAATGAAGATATTAACATTTATTATATATTCCAGCAAAAAGAAATTAAAGAAACCAAAATATAATATTACTTTCAGTTGCAGTTAAAAACAGTAGACAAAATAATGGAATGTACCTACAGAAGGACACATACTATAATTCTAACACTTCAGTCATTTATCACTTGGGGTAGAAAGCAGGGAAAAGAATATACAAATACGTAAGGGTTACATATAGCTTAACATTTAACTATCCAACGTAGTGGAACTTAATCTTGTTTGAATCAAGAACTCTTTATAGAGATTCTGATTAAAGTTATGGACACTCTCCTCAGAAAACTGTCCAAACACAAAACCTGGCACACAATTTCAGGTTGGTCACTGACCTCCTAATGTCATCCACTGATTCCAGAATCAAATCCTCTCCTCCACATAATGATGAATTATGAACCACTGGTGAAATAAGAGTACTTTAGGAGTTTAGAACAACAACAAATAAAATAAATGGGGTAGAAAGGAGAACTGCTGCCTACAGCAGAATGCTGAGTACCAGCTGGTAAATGTGTAGGTAGTGCTAGAACTGGAAAAATCGGCATTTTGCCACCAACGTAGTAAAGACTGGATCAAGCAAGGACAATCAATGAATGGTGAATCCAGGTGGAACTTTTGATGAGAAGCAGGAAATTTTGCATGGTTTTAAAATGTCTTATTTGTTGCAAGGAGAAAATATTTATTATACAGCAGAAACTAGAAAACATCTTGACTGAGCACTCTAACATTACTAATGAGCGGTAAATGGACTTCCTGTGCCTTCAGTTGTGATATCCTCAGAAAAACAGAGCAGCTATAAAGTATTCCAGCTAAGAATGCATAATCTGAATCTAATCATGAAAGAACATCGAAATGATCAACATTCTATTTTAAAAAGGGGGAGGGCTATATTCTTTAAAAATCTCAATAAAGGCTGTGTAAATGTTTCTGATCAAAGGAAGCTAAAGAGACACAACTAAATGCCAATACCTAACCCCAGTCTGGATCCTGTGCCAGAGGGGGAAAATGCTATAAATGACATCCCTGGGTCAACTGACAAAAATGGAAAAAAGGCAGTAAAGTAGGATATCAGTATTTCTAGAGCTGATAACTGTACCATAGTTAAGAGAAAATCCTTAATCTTAGAAAATACACTTCGAAGTACTGAGGAATAAAGGGGCATGGTATTTTAAGTTTCTCTCAAATGATTCAGACAAAAATAAATCAGATAGACAGGGACGCAGATTAAAATGATAAACTAAATGGGGTAAAATGTTAACAAAAGGTGAATCTGGGAATAGGTATTATGTATACCTTTCTTATTTATACAATTTTTCTCTAAGTTTGAAATTATATCTAAATAACAAGTTAAAAAAAATTTAAACTTCTTTTAAGCACTGAAATGTTCAAATTAGCCATGTTCTCTAGAAAAAAAAATTTCTGAAGTGTATAACCCCTACAAGAAGCAGAGAATGGGACACAAATTAACCCTTCTTAGTGAATCATCTAAACATTCTTTTATAGAACTGTCAATGTAGCTCATCTAGATCAGGGGCAGCAAACAGAGCATAAAGGTTATTACCTCCCACTCCTGTGAAAGACACTGCTAATCTATCACAGCAATCCTTACTGAACAAACCCAGATCCAAACTGGAGCCCCCTCCCCTCTTTCTTCTCTAATAATGAGAAGCAGAATTTTTTATTTTAAATTTAATATATAGAATATATTCACATGGTTCAAATTTTAAAACAATGAAAAATGAAATAAAGTGTCTTTTCACTACCTCCACCTAAAGATACCCAATTCTCTGTCCCTCAAGCAACTCATGTTATTTTTTTTTAAGTAATCTCCACACCCAACGTGGAACTTGAACCTACAACCCAAAAATTAAGCCATATGTATACTCCACTGACCAAGCCAGCCAGGCACCCCAACTCGTATTATTAAATTCTTATGTATTGTTCAGTGAGAGTTCATGCTTCCCTCCCTCCCTGCCTCCTCTTTTCTTTCTCTCTTTCTCCATATCTTTCTTAAAAGACCATCCAATGCAGCCAGATAATATGGGGTTGGCACCATTAATCACCTATTATTAATGGTGTGGAATATACTACTAGGAAAATTGTGCTGGTTTTATAGCTTCTGGAATAACCTGGAATTCCTTTCTGAAGTTCACCTAATACAGTCATTTGATGCAGTGTTTTTCAAACTGCAACTTGTGACCTATTAGAAGGTCATAAAATTAGTGTAAACTACATAAAGCATTTTCTTAAAAATTGAAACAGAAAATACTGGAATTTTACATTGTTTTATAAAACTTTTTAGTTTCCTATTTGTATATAGGTAATATTCACAAACTAAAATGTATCTCTTGGGATGCCTGGGTGGCTCAGTTGGGGTCTTGGGATCGAGTCCCATGGGTCCTGGGATCAAGTTCTGTGTCGGGCTCCTTGCTTATAGGGAGCCTGGTTCTCCCTCTGCCTGCAGCGCCCCCTACTTGTGCACGCTCTCTGACAAATAAATAAAATCTTTAAAAATAAATAAAATGTATCTCTTATGAATCATAGTAAAAAAAGTTTAGTGATATATACTGCATTTTTCTATGAAATTAATAACTAAATCAAAGGCAACGAATGTTCTTCCCAAGCAATGTTCTCTTTCCAAAAAATCTTCACTATCATTTTAAAAATTCTTTGACATGTCACTAGCATTCAAATATACTCCCCAGTAACCTGAGTTGGGATAAAACACAATTGGTGATTGCTTTCCACATACTCAGAACACCCAAGTAGCTACCTAGGAGTTGTTTCGTTATCCTCCAAAAATATGACTTTTGGACTTCAATATTTTGTGTTATGGTAAAATTTTGCTGTATTTCCATAGTAATAATAAAGTGAACCACAGACACATACACGACAGTTTATCCCAGTTTCTCTTGCTTGCACTTAGTTAACTAGAGAATTATTTATAAAATAAAGGGAAGCCTGTGTTTTTAAGATTATATGTCAGCATTTTCAGAGAATCTCTCTTCCAAAGCCTTTACTTTACTATAATTATGTGATATTCTCTGAAAAGGCCATAAAGTACTCTATAATATTATGGCTTTTCATAGTGAATTTAGGCTTATGCTATTGTCTTTCTTTGAAATGCAAAGCCAGTTTTCCAACAGTACATACAAGCCTTCCATCATCAAAAGACTTCTGGCTTTCAACTATCATGGGGACAAACTCAAAGACTCCCAGCCTTTCACTGAGAACTCCTCATATGAAACACTCTAAAGTCACTACAAGCATGCCAGTCTGTGCATGCACTAGCCTGTCCATTAGGTTCATTTAGCTCATATTTTATATACAATCTGGCTGTTGTCCTTCTGCCTTGAGGAGGAGGAGGAGGAGGAACAGCAGCAGGTATAGTTTACTGACCATTTAGTCTGAACCAGGTCCTCTGCTAAGTGCTTTATGTATGTATTTTATTTAATTTCATTCTCACAGTAAAAGGGCACCATCACCTCCATTTACAGATAATGAAACAGAGGCTCAGGGATGTTTAGGAGCTTACCAGGGCCACAACCACCACTAAGAAGCAGAGCAGGGTCAAACTTAGTTCTAACTCCAAAGCCCACATTCTTTCCCAACACAACACCCAACTTCCCTATGTTATAGATAAACCAATTATGTGCTAATCCATCAACTTTTCCCCCCCACTTTTTCAAGTCACAAATCAATTTCTATTTTTTCTTGTAAGAATTAATGAAACTTGAGAATTTGGGAACTTAAATCAGGATATTCAAGAAGCCCTACCAACTTCTCTACTTCTTGTGCAACTCTACTCCTCCCTCTTTGCATTTTAGCCACACTAGTGTTATTTCAGATCCAAAAGATACCAACCTACTCCCAGTCCTCCAACTCCCAATCTGACAAATAAATTCTGTCTTCCTCACTTGCAATGCTCCAACCCAACCCTATCTCCACCACGCTCCAATTCTGACCTGGCTTATCCTATTCATCCTTCTTGGACTTGAAGTTCCTCCCAGAGCACACCATCTAAATTGATCCCACCCCCGGCACCTGCATGGCTCAGTCCACTGAGCATCAGACTCATGATTTTGGCTCAGGTCATGATCTCATGGGTTGTAGAATCGAGCCCCGCATCGGGCTCCATGATCAGTGGGGAGTCTGCTTGAGATTCAATCCCTCTCCCTCTGCCCCTCCCCCCACTTGCTCACACACTCTCTCTCTCTAAAATAAATAAATAAATTTTAAAAGAAATAAAATAAAAATTGATCCCACCCCTATGGTTGTTATATCATAGGAGCTGTTATTTTTCTTCATGTGATTAACCCAATTTGTAATTATATATTTACATGTTTATTTGTTGTAATGTCTTTCACTAATATCTACACTCCATAGAAGCAGAGATAATTTCTATAGGGCTCACCACTGTATTCTTACCAACTAGAATAGTTGGTGTCTAGTATACAATAAGTGCTCAATAAATTAGTGAATAAATGAGTACAAGGATGACATTATTCATTCACTTATACACAAATTTGTTGAGTATATTGTGTACATATAATTGTACAGCCTAGCAGTATCCACACAAAGTATCGACATAAAGAAGCAGCTCAATAAATACTTGACTAAATTTAACAGAACAGAATACAACTTTACCTCCTCTTCCAGAAGGCTTTAGGGTTCAGGTCCATGAGTTTTCAACATCCCCCTACTTTATTCTTTTTTTTTTTTAAGATTTTATTTATTTGAGAGAGAGAGAGAGAGAGAGAGAATGAGAGATAGAAAGCACGAGAGGGAAGAGGGTCAGAGGGAGAAGCAGATTCCCCGCCGAGCAGGAAGCCTGATGCAGGACTCGATCCCGGGACTCCAGGATCACGA